GAAAAAGCGTATTGACGAGTGGAGTGATAACCAATCACCTCACACGTTGCGGTGCGTGTGTGTGTGCTATGAAGCCCGGTAATGCAGGTGTGCTTTCACGGCCTAGGCATGCTTTGTTACTTGGAGTCGCCATCACAACTCTCATCTCATTGCTGAAACACTTGCCTTGGTGGCTTCCATCGTAGCACCTCAGAAGGTGATTGTTGTTCGGTAGAGTCAGTCATCCTCATCGGAATGACGAGGTTTCGGTGCGAAATTGCAAACCACCTCATTTTTGAGGGTTGGTATTATACTAGTGAATTGTTGATCAGTCTTTCCTCGATGTGAAGTGATGCTTGCAACATCATATTAAGTAAGTCACCTTTTCCCTAAGTACGGAGGTGAGTCGACTCCTCTTCTCCATTACCTCCAAATTGTAGCGATTTTGGAGTGTCTGGCCGATGCTCTGTGTTAGATGGAACTACTTCCCTTCCACAGTAGAGGGTGGTGTGTGTGTGTACGATCGAAGACAAGTACCATTCACCATGTTTAATGGAGTAGGAATTTTTCCCGTGGAACCGCCGCCACCAATCCTTTCACTTGATGTGAGTGGTGAAATGCGAGGAGCGTGGACTCGCGATTGATGCCTGAATTGCTCCTGCACACCTTCCGCCACACCCTACACGAGGACGTCGTTTCCGCTTGCCTCGTAAGCACACCTCAACCGTCCAACTCGTTATTTGCTACACTGTGAGCTGTAGTGGGCAGTAGCGACATGAATCAGGTTCGGTGTCGTTGAAGTGATTTCCCTCACTTCGCACACTTTGCGAACAGCACGAATGCTTTTATTCACATTTGCACCCACCCACTCCACTCGAGGCTGGATGCAAGCCTTGAGTGTGGGACAGGACACGACATACGTGACGGCATGACACGGCCCACCCGATGCATCACATAGCGCCGAGGTGGGCTTTCCCTCGCTCCATAACGGTGTGATAGAAGTGGCCAAGCGGAAAGTCATCACGGGAATTGTGGTCATCAATGCCATGTGATCAGTTGTGGCGGACACAGCCCAACAAGTGGTGGTAGAGGCACAATGTTGTGCACAATGTTGTTGTGGCGCCAATTGCAATCTGGCCGAACAGCAAACCGAGTAATTAGATTTAGGCGGGTAACGGAAGAGAGGTGGTTGATGAATGTACCATGACAAGGATATTGAGGCCTTTTTTGTCAAAGCAAAGAAGAGGTGTCATCACCACCATACTCATCATTATCGGTGCTTGAATGGGGGATGCATTGGTAATTGGGAATGCGTATTTTGAGGTACTGTGTACGTAAGCATGTGTGCCTATGAGGTGGCTGTCAGTATGAGGCGCATGTTGCTTGCACTGGAATGTCATGCAGTTCACGAGTGCAACCTAGCATTCACCGCAAATACACTGCTGCACCAGGGTGCAGTGTTGAACGGCCATTCTGGTGGATTAGTGAGTGCGGTAGTGGGGTGAAGAGTGGTGGCCTAGGGAAGAGGTTGTGTGACGAGGAGAATGTAAGTTTTCACCTAGACGATGGGATGCTGGGGTGTGGCCAACCGCATTGTGTATGGGTGAAGGAACAGCTTACGAAAAGAGATGCTAAGAGAGAGGCAGTTTGTGTGCGCTGAGTGGCGGATTGCGAACTCCCACACTTGGAGCAGTTCTGGGTCCACACTTAGTTGACTGGTGTTCACGCGTGTGCGACAGGTTTAACCGCATGATGCACTACCGACACACACGATCCGGTGGCTGGTAGTGCAAAAGGTAACGAGAGTGGAAAATCGTATTGGGGAATAAATCAGTTTCACCACAAACACTCCATTGCACTACAGCTCTCTCAGTCAAAGCAAAGTGGAAGTGAAGTAGACACGATCACCCACTCACTAGCCAATCATTCTCCAGTCTTGGATTCGCAGACACACTGTGAGACCAACCTCCCGCATTAGTATTCGCCTTTAAGCAAGTTCGAACATGAGTGCGAATGAGAGTACCCACACAGCTGTCTCCCTCAACACCGTCATCCCACAGATGTGGAAGTAGATGCATTATAGTGGTGCAGATTGGCTGAAGTGCTAGTAGACGCACATGACGTGGACAGCATCAGGTGTAGGGGCTGCACGATAGGGGGCAGTTCGCTTTATCCCAACCTCCAGCACGCCTGTTGCTGGAGATGGCGAAGGTCAGGGCAAAAGATGCTGTCGTCTTCACACCAAGAACAGCCCGCATCTGCTTTATCGCACTTCTCAAATGCCACCAGCCTGTTTTCGGTACACCTTGTGACACCACTCCTCACAAACAGAGGCAACTGAAGTACGCAAAATGATGCATCACATGCATGTGACTTCAGTAGGAAAGAGACGAAAATAAGACTCCAGGCATGCATATTCTTCCCACACCTTTGGACCGTCAGTCTTTTGTGCGTGCCTCAATGATGCATCTTCTTCCCTGAAGTAGCGCTGCACCAATGCCACTGGAGGCATTGGACTTTCCTGTGACCAGTCGTGTAAGCACACCAACTGGTGACGCTCTAGTTGCCACTTATGACATGCACAGACTGCCTCGTCCAGTGAACTGTAACTCTGATGTCTAAATAGTGTCGTGGCAATGCTCAGGGTAATTCCACATAGCATAGAAAAGGTAGATGGTTGTGAAGTGGTTTAAGAGGTGCACGTGATACATACAAGACACCAATAGCGCCATCATCCTCTTTGCAAAACGTCACGTGACTAATGCAACTATTTACATTGCTTTCGCACACGGATCTAAGCCATGTCTACACGGTTGCCAGGCGAAGAAGTGGCCGTAGACACCATCACCTACCAAGAGGGATAGCGATGTATTCTGCTTATGGCTGACTGCGCCAAGAAAGTAGCCGAGTCAGACAGTACCTTCAACTTCTGCCGATCGATGGATCCATCAGCACAGACTGACCGCATCCATCCACAGCGATCAAGGTCCTACTCGCCAGCCACCTCCCTTCCCCTATCTCTAAACTAGTAAAGATGTTGCAATACAATCCAACCCATCGTATTTGGCATGGCCACAGGGAAAGAGAGGGGTAGGAAGCAACCTCACTTCGTATTTCTTATGCCTCCAAGTATAGCCCGGAGAAACAAGGACACTTCACTGGTGGGAGATGAGCATTGTCGACAAACACCCGACTACCCTATACCATTCCGTGAGAGGTGAGCTTGATGGCTCCTCTTAAGGAGTAATACACAGCACACCCAGCAACACCCCACCTTGGTAATCTGCAGAAATAAGCAGAGAGCACTTATTGCACTACAGCTTGCACAATTGGTAGCTCTGGTCGCACCACCCAAGACAAGTTGGAACAGTGGCACAAGACACCCACATGCTTTGCTCACAACAGATAAGGAAAGTACAAACGAAAACAGAAAAGTCACATTGTTAGGGTCGACGAGAAGAAAATTAAAAGTAAAAGGAGACAGTGAATCCAGAGAGTAAGCACCGACTCAGGCCGCATTAGGACTACCCTCGTTAAACCGTAAGGACTGCATACTCCTCCTTCTCCTCCTCAACACGCTGGTCACAATGTGCTTGAAGAGCAGCAAGTAGCGCATTGTGCCGTACTGATGAGACTGCCGTTTGTGGCACCACAAACTTTGTCCTAACAGAGCGTTGGTTGGAAAACGTCTAGTTTTACTCGTGTGTAATTAAGAATGCATAATAGCCGCGAACTCAACCACAAACGCGGACGACAATGGTGGCAGGTAAGGCGTGCAACAGTAACTAACAGATGAGATCTCTCATTGGACAGCCTCGGCTCGCGTCTCATTGGCTATTGACTACAAATCGATAGATGGAAGTTTGAATGCACGCGTTTGTCAACACAAAACGACCAAGTGCGGGAAGAGTAGCACCAAAGAATGGTAGTAGTGGATGGGAAGGCAATGACGAGTTCCTCCGAGACGACGAGCGACTTTTGTCGCAGTAGTCCCGATTTCTGGCCTCGACCGTATGTTTGACGCCCGCTCATCTGCTGACACCAAGGAGGAGGTCAGCGCTTCCACAATTGAGGTGACTTTTTCTTCGTCTTCGTCTCCTTCCCCTCTACCATCACCATCACCACCACCACTACCACTGTCACTGCCACCTTTGCCAAACCACCTGCAGATCCTCGCCCCCGTGCCGAAGGATGACACCGAGTTAGAAGGACAGCTGGAAGCTTGGCGAAACAGTGGTGACGCAGCGAGAAAGTGGCTTGTCTACTCGCTCACTCCTGCTACAGCCATCATCATTCTGCCCCCACCACTATCACTTTCACAACGACCGCCACCTCCAGCACCCTCAACATCGCCATTGCCAACGCCATCTGGTCGAAGTGAAGGTGGGAGTGGCGGGAGCATGGTGCGTCGAGGAGAGATTCTCGCCTGTCTGGAGTGGTTGGAGGCTGTCGGCGTTGTCAGTGTTGTTGCAGTTATCGACAGAACATTTGGTGATCTCGTCAAGTCCCTCATGTTCCTCGGCTTTAGTACACTATCTGCCACAACAAACTGCTGCTTGAAGACTATTGCTCACCTCACCACAGACTTTGTCCTTCTCAAAGCTGACCTTGTCGACCGTTGAATGCCTCCTAGGTGATTTTCATCGCCCTGCCCCTCTCGCCTTCCTGCACTCATCATAATCATCACCAACAGTGTCCATGCTCATCATCTTCACCTCACTCTGCGTTCGTCCACACTCAATAGACAGTTTCAATTGGGATATTCAACTAGTCACTTCAAACCTGTCTACAAACCGTTGGCACTGTCCGTGAGAGCACTGTACCAGATTAAGTTTGTCGAAATCACAGCGAGTTAAGCATTAAACTGCGAGGATTTCGTTTTTAATGTCAATTGTATTAAATGGGTTGCGACGATCGCGTAGTTGTTTTTCTCTTCCATTGACGTGCTATCTTTAGTGAAATATTGGGCACACCGTTGCAATTATAATGAAATGCGAGCATTGTTTGAAGCTCTTCGTTTTTCATAGCAGCTTAGCAATGTGCATATGGTAGTATTAGACAATTCAGCTACGTATTGAGATTTGTTTTAGTTTATTGAAAGTAGTTTATGATGAAACAATGCGTACCTTAGTGAAGCAGTACTTGTAGCAATTTAATCTAGAAATTATTTTAACGCAAGATTGACACTCGCAACGTTTTCTGAGCTCGTCTATGCAATTATTAAAATACAGAAAAAAGACAAGTAAATTTGCTAACAATATGCAAATTCCATTGGCTTTCGAATTAGCAAAGCACCAAAATTCAGTTAGAACAGTTTATTCAAAAAGCTAACGTGGAACCAAACAACCTAAAATATGGGAGGTTGTGACGTTAAGTTCCCCACCACTTGCACCTCATTGAGCTTGCTTTTTGATTCCCGGATCGCCTAATGTAAAGTGAAAAAAAACGAAAGACGCAAATAATAACATCTAACGTGAACAGAAGTTAAAACATTAAACGATGAGAATAGCAAGATAACCGCGCTTTTTGGGCCGGCGGAAAATGAAGACACTTACCGACATACCAAGACTGCCAATATTCCGAGAACAACTGTCACTGGAAAGCAAAACCAAAAGTCTACATCAGTTACAGTGATAGAGCCATCAGACGTTTCTCAGCACGGTGTCATGTTATTTTCAATTATTGTGCCTCATCTTTTGGCCACTGGCAGAAACGTACCTTTTTGAAGGAAAGCAGCATCCAAGAGAATTTCAATCAGTGGAGTGCGCAACCATTTTACTGGAGGGAGAAATACGAAGACAATAAGGACAGATAACCATCAGAGCTTCTCAGTCAAACTATCGTCCGCATGTCAAGGGACCTAGCTCTCATCAACTGGTCAAACTTACCGCTTTCTTGTTAGCGCTCCATCCCGGCTCATTAGCACCGTGGAAACCGATGAAATCACTGGGAAGAGGGCTAGGAGGTGGTGATCCCTCCAAAGTGAGCGGTATCAAGGGGAGAAACGAACATTTCAGAGGTATTGAGTGATACCCTTCTACTGGGTCACTGAAGAATTGAGTTTTACTTCCTGAAAATCTTTGGCGTGGATAAGTTATTGCTAATTTAGGACCAATGTCACGATTATAAAGTTATCTTTTGGAGAAACGCGATGCCCTAGTGGTCTGGAGTCGAAAACATCTAGTCAGTTAAGTCCCTTAGAATTGCGTCAATTAAAAATCAGTCGCAAATGTCTATCAAAGTGATCCCATCAGCATCAAAACGACCCGAGATTCCCGCGGTAAAACACTTCTACAACCAATCACACACACAACCCTAGAAATTACTCGACTAAAGTAGGAACTAGTTCACGCTTTTGAGTCGCCATAAGTTACATCCATAACATAACATAACATAACATAAAGTTAGATTGCTTTTGCGGTAGGATATCCACAGCCCATCCTAGCGAAACGGCAGATGGTTTAATTTAGCTTCCACACTGCTATTCATTAGAACTTAATGAAATGAAGACCGAGTAAAACGTTGACCAAATATATGACCCCATTGGTGGTAGTCAGCAAGGTCGATTACATTTATTTCTTCGCAGTGGAGCGTTCGACTCGAACCACATTAACACTGCCCTCCAGCCTAGGACACCAAAAGGCGTAGAAACCAACCGCCAACGAGGCTCTCAGTTACTAGTGGATTGCCACACCAAAACTACCAAAGCGACCGCTGCTGGATTAAGGAATTCAATGACTTAAGGCTTAATGAGACACCAAAAGCTAAGCATCAACTGCAGTACTACCGTAGGGTTCAAGCTACTGAGTGTTGATAGAGGCTCCTAGCACTGGTTTAACCGAGGAGATTAGAATACAGGGAATCATTGATGCGCTGATACAAGCATACAAGAAATTACATGTACCTCTTAAACGCTTGTAACTAAAACATTTGATTGGAATTTTGTGTGAAAATTCTATGCTTATTAAAGGTAAGATGTAGGATAACACTAAAATGCACCATAGTATCATCAATTTAAAGTGTGAATGAATGAATGAACAGGTGAATATGAAAAGGGTTAACAAGCAAATTGAGTTGACAATAAGCGAGCAGTTGATATGCTATTAGTGATATTTAGACATGACTATACCTTGAGCCCTTAAGAATGAGGCAAAAAGCGAACCGTAAATCCCAATTTAGGTCTTAAGAGGTATGTGTTTATGGAGAGTCCCGAATCTTGGGAATAAGGGGCATCGAGATAAGTAAGAGTTGCTGGTTGGGATTATTAACTTGTGAGATCGAGCTTACGCGTGTTACCGAAAGGATGAAACCGAAGCAACAAACATACAATCACCAAGTCCGAATTCGGTCAATGAGTGCACCAATAACCGAGAGTAGAACAAACATGCGCTACGGTGCGCGTGACGATAAAATTCTAAGAATTGCACAATCAACGTATTTCAAAGCAGACTCCAATTGCTCTCAACAGACGATAACTACAAGTAAAAAACAAACGCCACCTCTTCAAGTCATTTATTGAAAATTGAACCAACTATGATAACAGAATAGAAATAGAAAGAAAATACCACCATCTGAGCAAAAACATTTATTATTCCAATCTACTACACAATTGATAGAATGTCTTCTCTCTCTCTTCCCATAAAAATGATCCCCTTTCTCGCCCCTTTCCGTCAATCAGCTTGCCATCCTCCGCCAGGAGTAGTGACGAGATCCAAAGAGAATAAAACAAGATTGATAAAACCAACTCTAGTTCACATTCGCACTCGCCTTTCACCCATTCAAAATAATATTTGGGCAAGCACACACGAATCCACACACATCGATACACAAACAGAGATAGAAAAGGGAGAGACACTAATGCTGTAAGTTTTTCTCCCACACACACAGAGGGAACGAATGCTAAAAATCGATTCCAGGAATCAGCTGCCGTGGTAAATCGTCGAGAATCTCCACAGCATTGGAGGGCTGATTGAGTTCTGCAGAAACCAACATTAGATCCGCCTCGTCTGCTCCCAATGCTACTGCGTCTGTCGCCTCCTGCTTCACCGCCGTAGCGTGGAAAGCACGTGCCATGCGAGTTAGTGGATCATTTATCTCCATCTCGTTGTCCTCTTGAGTGAACGGATCCGACAACAGTGGTGGAGGATGAACAGTAGATGGGGAAGATGAAGCGGAGACCGGTTCGGCATCGAGGAGGTCTGCTTCAGAGAGACTGCGGAGGGCAAGAGGGGGTAGGTTTCCGCGGGAAAGAAGGTAGAAGACACCGACCTCGGTGCGCTCAAAGAGGGTGCGTTTGAGACGCGGCAGAGGTGCACGCTTACATACGAGAAGAAAGGCTGTATTCAGATGCTCAGGTACCTCGAATTCAATGCGAGTGAGGAGGCCCCAGGAATGCGCTGCGGTGCGTGCCATATGCCAAAGAGCATGAGGGAGAGCGCGAAGTGATATACGGAGAGGCGTCACCAAAGCTGATGCCGCATACGCCTCCAAGTACTGTTCCAAGTGTTCACGGGAGGTGAAGAAACAGCTGCCTGCTGCTGCAAAGTCTGGGTCCTTGCTCCTGGCAACGGCTGAGTAAATATGGAGAAAGAAAGCAATAAAACTTCAATAACGCACTTAGAGTTCGGTAAGAAACTTTTGACAAGAACTGAGGGCTAAAGCAATCAATATTTCGATTCAACTCCAAGAAATCGATGGGTAGCCAATATTTATGACGAGTCAATAAGGAAATTATTATCGGAATATTTTAATTCAAACGACATGGAATCAGCTTACTAACAAAGATATTCAAACTCTTAATGGACCGAAGTTGAATAATAAAGAAAGACAGCGACAGTTCGGTTTCGCATTTAAATAGCAATGATAACAATGAAACGAAAACAGTACAGAGAGAAAACAAGAAGATGGATTTGTTAGAACTGAAGTTTCCTTATGTTCAACGCCTAAACATCCGACACCAACTGATTTCATCCGAATTCGCTCTTACTAACAAAAGAACTAAGAATATCCCGTAGAGCGAAAATATTAATCGGAAAGTTATACCGCTTTTGCACATAAAAGTACTTCCCAGTATGCAGGAAAGTCAATATGGCACTATACAGTAATTTTAAAAATGACGCACAAGAACTGCCAAAAATTTCACAATGTGCTTCCAAATGTTCGATGGGGAGGGCGAACTGTTTTTCGTGTTTGCCCCACATCAGACTATCCACAATGCTGGCCTCCGTCAGACCCCACAGTGGATGCATTGAGTCCTCGTCGTCTTGAACGCGTGAACCGGGCAGTTCATCATCCGCAAGTGCTATGCAAATGAACAGAATAATTAGAGGTAATTAAAGACCATGTACATACATAAATAGCGACCCATTTTAAATACAGTAGAACGGTTAAAATCCGCAAGTCGCGAACGCAAGAAAACAAAAAAAGTAGGGTAATGAAATCCACTTAACAGAACACGAAAGGCTAATGAGTTTGTGAAATCTTCCTTTGGGCACTAAAAACCTCGTTTTCTACAAACTGCAAGCACTAAGTCCCTAAAACAAAAAAGTTCTCTTTTCACCAATCATAAAAGCGATTATTGGTCAGAGTGAAGAAACAGTCCTGTTAAAGATGCCCCCACGTTTGGACTTGAAAAGGGAGAGATATCAAGAAAGAACCGATTTCCTGATGTAGAAATGAGAGGAACTAGTAGGCTTATCCTTAGTCTCAGCTGAGATGCGTGGTTAAGCCTAGGTCAAGCATCACTATACTAAATTTCAGAGCACAATTGGGCAAAATCATTATAACTGTTATTCCAGAAAATCTTGATTAAACTCACTTCTGATAAGTTTTAAGTAGATGCCATTAAAAGAGAAAACAAGAATTTTTTAAAGAGGAGTACAACGCTAACAAAAAGTGGAGATCCAAACCAAGATCCGTTCTTAGGTTAAAAGAGGCATTCATTCTTAAATTCAATGCAAATATTTACGAGCGTTCGAATGGGTGCCTTTCTGTTTAACTTACCGCAGTTATTCCGATTTCTCACATTCAAGGTCTAAAATAGTCTACAACTACGGTTGAATCTAAAACGAACAAGTCAACCAAATGACTAACTTGAAGCTGCAGTTGCCAAGATTGAGTTTCAAGACCAGCTCATAAATATCTGTTAACATCTAGAATAAAGGCAATTAACCTAGCCTCACAAATCGCATAGAAAACAAAAGCCCACGTAACGCTCTGAAGCAAACCAACACCAGTTTAAAACAACTATTTGAGTCTCAGCAATAATCGTATGTGGCAAAGATACTAGCTTCGGATGTTATTGTGTGATTCAACAAGCGCATAAGTGCAATACATCTGTGAAAACCATTGATTTTGACGGCCTTATCGGGTTGATAGCTAATGGGAATCAATAGTGCATCAAAAATCAGACCGCAATGAAGACTTACGGTCAGGAGGGGGAAGTAGGAGACCGACTACCGGTTGCGAGATCTTCAGTCGTCGCAGGAGACGGGAGGCAGCTTTAGCGCGGGCTGTGACAACGTTGATAGAGGTTGCTTTAACGCAGCGCTGCGCATCCACCAGGCCGAAGGCTGTGAAAACGCCCTCGGCGGGGTCGAACTCCAACTCAAAATTCACCGTCATCTGGCTGAATTCCGCTGACTGAGCTAGAAACTGCTCCGGTACCAGCTATTTCGCAAAAAGCATACACCGGTTCGTATGATTAAAGCCTATGGCAATCGATGCTGAAGAAAGCGCCACTAGTGGTAGAGGTAAATAATAGTAAAAATTCAAGAGACCGGAGCAGTCAACGAATTGTAGGCGTGGAAAAACTAGTATCAGACTGATCAATGCAAACGATGAGGTACGAGCGCACGTTATCATCATCTCAATAAAAGACAAAGGATTTTCCACTTTATGACTAGTGAACGAGCAGCCAACGGGAGAAATTAATGTCAAGTTAGGTAGAAAGGAATTGGAAGTACCACTACAAAGAAATGCACATCATGACAAATACATTACTAACCCGAAATGGTGGTGCTAATCCGCAAATCGTCCCCAAATACTTGCCTACTTTTGCAAAGTGTGATTTGAAATAAAGCCAACGAAAACGACAATGGATTGAAACGGCACCAGATGAGGTTCAGCACATAAGACAATGGATCAACTTTGATGATCAAGCCAGTATACAATCAAAACAGTTAGTTTGAAGTAAGATTCGTTGGAGATTCATTTGGTCGGAGTAAAATGGCAATAAATTTGACCACTAAAACCAATGTCTACTGAAACTCAAAATACGTTAGCAATGCGCACGTTTAAAGTCATATTAAATTTCATTCAAGTTACGTGACAAATTCCACTGTCGCCCTCGTAGTGAAAAGAGGTAACACAAAAGAACATAAGCTTTTCATAGTCGAGACCCTTGTCAGCAAGCAAATAGTTTTCAAAACAGACCAATCTCGTGAATAAAACCACTGAACAACTTGACTTTGTAAAAAGATAATAAAAGGAGATGCAATTGAGTCATTTAAAATTACAAATTTGTTGTTTGCTGAACTTCTTGAACGCATTTAAAACTCAACCATAATAGACAGAATCCGATGACATTTGCGTTTTACAGTTATGCTTGAAACAGCCAAAACGAAGACGCTGACAATAAGTTATTTTCAAACCTATTGAGAACAGCCATATCCCACTAATGTATAGGGAAAGAAGGACAAATTCACAATACAGTTCTGAGTCTCGGTTACCCAGAGCCTCAAGTTCATCAATTAAACTGCTCCGTAGGGGTAGAGCCTTCACTGCACACTTCATTTCAGTGCTTTTTACCATAACCTACTCGGTTCACTTGATAGAGTTACTTTTCCTCTCAGAGAGCAACAAATAGCAAATCTGGGTAGTGGGTTGCAAAACAAACTGACCGCATTGTCAACATTGACAGCGATTGGGAGTGCGGTGTAGAGCCAGAGGTCGTAAAATGGTTTGGGATTGCAGACCCTGTAAGTCTCCGCCGGATCTCCGGGGCTAATCGGTTGGTCAGAGGGGATAGGAGCCAGCGGGTCGGCCAAGAAGGGAGTTAGCTGGGGCACCTGATCAGCTTTGGGGCTGAGACACAAGGTCAGATAGTCAACGGCGCCATATCCGGGTTCGTTACCATACCAGGTTCGAACCGCACCTACGAGGAAGTTGGGCCTTGAGAGAACCATCAGCGCCTGAAGCACGGGATCGTGAAAAATGCAATGAGATTCTCCCCATCATTTTAAACTACTTTTATTTAACTGAGGGGAGGGGCCGTTAAAAACATTAGCTACCTTCAAAAATTTGACTCAACGCATCAAAACGGTGAAAATAAAAGCAAGCCTAATGATCCCAAATTGTTGCGTTGTTTTAACCTAGCGGAGCAATTTTTAGGCATCCTTGAATGTCATGGCCACTAAAACATACGGAAAGAGCGCATTTGCTCCTATAATACTGCAATAGTTATGTGCATGCAGAACACCTTCAAATTTATGCGTTCAATTTGTAGGAACTACTTCGCATTCTGGCAATAATTTTCCAACATGTTTATGCGACGATTTCAAGTCTCAGCTCTCAACTTGTGAGGTGAGCCGGACACTACTCATGTATTCAGAAAAGAAAACAAGCCATACTCATATACAAATTAATTAAATTAGAGCTAACACTCTTAGAAACTAATAAGAATTCGTAGCCCAAATTGGGAGATGCCCTTCTTCACTACTACGACGGACAGAGCAGTCATATCAACCTCTAACTAGAATGGGTGGAGTAAGAGAAACCCTTAATCGCTAATAAGTAATGGCTAACCTTTCGTGCCGCACACATTTTGGCTTGGAGTTTACAGTCGGCGAGGGCCTGACAGATAAAGACATCACCGATGAGTAGATCGCATATGTACATCGTTCTGGAGTGCTCCTCACAGGCTGAATCTATCTCCATCTGTTCCTCATCCTCCACTTTGTCAACATCGGCGGTTACATCCTCCGAGTCGATATCCAAGGAATTAGAAGTGAAAGGCTTGTTTGGAACACCATCAATGCTGTCTCCCGTATCGCCGTTAGTAATCCCTACTGGTACTGGTGGCTGCATCCGAAGTGATGACGACAGTGAATGTTTTTTGATGGAAGGAGTTGCCAAAACAGCGTGCTAAAATTAGCAGGTTTACAAGGTGAAAAGGTCACGGATTCAGGTTGGTATGGTCGGGGACGACACCTTGTTGTCGGTGGCTGAAAATGTTCCAGTCGCTGAAATGAAGAGCTTATACTATGTGCATAAACTTTAGAGACCCAAGCTGAAGAAATGTGCCGAAATATCCACATCGCTGAGAACGTGATTTCCAGAACGTAACAGGAAGTGAGATGGAATATGATTAAGAATGACACATCATAATACCTCACGGCACACGGAGTTAAGCACCGACAAAATGCTGGATTCAAAATGTGAGCGTACATACTTGCGCTAAAGACATCCAGAGCACATACAAGAGGATTAAAATTAATAAAGAATCTAGAAAACACTGGCCACTAAAAGAACGGTTTCGAGGAATTATCCCAAGCCCGTGCTTTGAAACTTCTATGAGCAAACACTAAAGCGAGAACGGAAAGCAATGCGAAGAGACTCCAAGTTAAAGCTCCAGAACTCGTGATGGTTGAAAGATAAGCTTAGAAATACTCGGAAGCCATTTACTTGCAAATTATACCCAAAAATAAGCAACACAATCTCAAGCAATAGCTAGCAGTCAACAAGCTTGAGGTATCTTTTAAAAAAGCGATCTGATAACGAGAGCTTAGTAAAATGAGCAGTCAGTCAGTTACGATTTTCAGCGTTAATGTATAACTACATTCCTTGCAACTGATGTAAACAAACAGCTGGCTTCAGCCTAGAGATGTTAAAATTTAAGACAATGTAAAAAAGCATAGGAGACATGCGATGATGAATGAACTACCAGTTTTCATTCAATGTCCTAATATTTGTTTTGAAAATTACAAGTGTAATGAAAATTGACAAGCCGAAAGTTCTGCTATTCCGTTAATCGAGAAAGATCATGAAGTACTATTGTTGCAACGGATAGCGTGAAAATAAGTGGAATGGACATGACTGCTTTGAGAAAAAGGCGGAGAATGGAAGCAATACGCGGGTTCACTTATGTAAAAAAGCACACGGACCGTATTTTACTGATTCGAAACGCATCGTGAACATGCTTATCGAATTGGGGCGATTTTAGCCTGACGCAAAGGAAAATGAGGGAACTAGCCCATGCGGATAATTTCGCTGACACTTGCAACGAGGATATTTTACCCTATCAACTGGAATCCAAATCGTCTTCACAAAAAGCTAGTGCCAATCAGATCCTGTGCTCTTAAAAAGAATGAACGCGATTTTTGACGACTTAGAGCGAAGTGGCGAAGCGGAACCAATTTTAAAATGAAAATAATTTTGCTATTAAACAACAAAACTCACTTTGGGACCACAAATGAAGAGTGTTTGAGCCTTGGTGGGGAGGCGGTTGATTCGGTTGAAAACGTAGGTGACTTTGACCTTAACGTACCTCTCCACTGTGCTTTCTAAAGCAGCAACGTAGTCGATGCTGACGGGAGCCTTGGTAGCAGACGCCTTCCGCACATCTATTTCATGCACCTTCCTGCAGATTTGCAGCTAGAGAGGAAGGTAAGGTCATGTCATAGTACTGAGACCAAAAATGCGATGTTTGCCATGGAAAGCTGATTTCTATAAGATCAAGTCTGCAATGAAGGCCAGGTTTGCGGGCAAAAGGATTGCTCCCCTCACTCCCGGCGCATGTCAAATGACAATAATGGAGCCACCATTGACAAAAACGTTAAAATATCTCATTTGTAACCCATACGTCCGTTTCTGATACGAATGAACAAGTGTATCAATGAATTAGTCACATCAACGTAACTCTGGTAATTATCTATCCCAAGGCTGCATCCCGGCAAATCGAAGCGCACGGTCGACACCCTCGGTCCAGTCCTCACTACATAATGGATGTCTAGAGACTGTCGTATTTCAAGCGACAGACTGATAACAAGCCAAGATAAATTTTAAATTGAACGGTCTTGTCGTGCTAAAAAACTTACGCACGACAAACAGGGCTTTTGATAAAAAGCGAGTCAACTGCCAAGGAGACGTGAAATTTAACGGGAATTCCTATCGAAAGGCCTTGAATTACTATAAAGATTCAGATTTTTCAAAACGAACCATGAAGGAACAAAAAACGACTGACCATAAAGAAACAACTTATAGAAATCATAGCAGTAGCACACTACCAGCGTCTCCATAATATGAATCTACGAAAGGGCATTAATTACCCTATACTAGTGTAATAATCATCAAATGTTCAAATCCAGGTTATATTGTAAGGAGGCCACTCATTGCATGCAAGGACTCACCAAGGGTTCAAAGACCATTAGAAAAGTTTCTATAAATAGTGCATTCATTAATGTTAGAATTGAAAGTGTTGCAGTGCAAAATTACATCCACCTAAAAGCATTCATAAATTCACTTCACTAAAATTCGTTTGTCGGATCAAAATAATCTCAGTCAAAATTCTGACAGCGAATAAAAGGCAATACTGAACTCAAATCAGTTTCAAATACATTTTGACTCATTTGCGGAAGGCAAGAGGGAAAGAAGTCGAACCCAGCCTCCTTACCTGCATCACACACACTAGAGTCTGTTTCCTTATCAACAACACAGTGGGCGGTGGGGGTGGCATCCAAGAGTGTGGTCTGTTGCGGTAGTCCTCAGGAGTGATGTAGATTGGAAGCTCCTCCTCACCTTCCCGAGCTCCACCCCTCTCGCCATCGCCGTTCTGCGTATCTGCCACATCGATAGGACAGGGCCGCAAGATTCCATAGGCGCCGTACTGAGTGACAGGACCGCTGAGCTCCGGCGATTCGGCCACTTTCGGATCGATCCCAGCAACCACACCTGTTTCAGCTACAGGGACGGAAGCAATCGAAGTAAGAGGTTTGGCGGGAGGAAGGCACACCATAGGTGTTGGCAGTGCAGCCATGGAAGCTGCTGCGGCTGCTGCCGCCGCAACTGCCATTATTTGTTCCTGTTGCTGTGCTTGCTGGGTGATGATGTACCTGGAAAGGAGATTCTGTGCAGCCGCTTGAGCCGACAAAATTGAAGCAATAGGATCCACACCAGCAGGAGCGTATATTAGCGATTGAGGATACATAACTGGCTCAGAGCTAATGCAGAAGGGCGTTTGACAAGCGACAGCCCTATCACTGTCGGAATCTTGGGGTGGCGGTGGAGGTGGTGGAGGAGTGTGAGTTGTATACATTTCAGTGGGGACTGAATTGACGTCGACACCGAAATTCTGGTAAAACCATTGCTCGTACTGTCGTACCCAATTGGTGAGAAGCTGACGCACCTCAGAGGAGGAGATCTTAGAGACAGAGTCGGATGCAAAGTATTGAAGGTCTGTGTTGGAAGGCCCAGTGCTTGGAGCGAAGGTACCCTCGCTGGTGGTGGCCGACGCGTAGTAGGCAGCCGCATTTTCAGACAAGAGAGCGGTAGGTGAGGGAGGAGGCTGAGGAACCGGAGTTGACGGTTCAATGAAATTCTCTTCCTCCGTCTGAGTTGAGGCGTCAAGACGGGGAACATTTCGCCGACGTTTAACAAAGGACTTGCTCACGACAGAAGCTAGCCTGCTCTTTGTGCTTGAAGATGGATCGGCAGGATTCTGAGCGCTAGTTATTACAGCGTTTATGAACGCCCGAATATGCGCATCAACTTGTTTCGGTGAAGCCTTGACTTCATCAGTTTTGCGCCTTTTGGCGCATATTGGAAGGTCTAAATAGGATCGGAAAAGAGATCACCTTCAACCGACCCATGCTTAGAAAAGAACCAATATTCTGTGGTTTTATGTTTCAAAATGTGGACCGACAAAGTTGTCCACTGTTAATTCCAATGAAATAGCCAACAAAGTATTTGAATAATAGTAGTCTATGCATAAATTTGTGGACTTTTGAAGCAAATCTGTGCAAAACAAATGTTTTCGCTTCCGTAAGGGAAACCCAAGTGAGCACTCCAAACCCATTTAGTGCACTTAAATCAAGGACCATGGAGGCCTTCGCAGCCTTGCTGTTATGTTAGTAACATAACCACGGAATCAACACATATACACGAAAAGATTCAATACCTGGTTGCAAGAACTGTAAATATACTCTATATTTTTGCAAAAGATGCCACCCTTTTGGGAAACCTACCCATTCAAAAAATTGTGCGAACTAGCCACGGCTGAGCTGTTTTCACACACGAACCCAGTTAACCTTGAAATTACTTGTTAAATTCGAATTAACAAATGAACTAGGAACAATGTGCTTGGCAGGTAATGCTGTTAACATCATCATCTCGAAACCATTCTGGCTTAAAGATGGAATCACGGTTGCGAATTTATTTTACTTTCCCATAAGAGTTAAACTAATATTTTTAAAGTTTAGTTTTAATGATTTTTCATTTTGCATGCCAGCCTTAATTAAGTTGGAACACACCGTCTGTAGAATCTATCTGCCTACATTCAAGCTCTTGAACTTCAAACTTCATGAGAGGATTGTTTGGGGAGGACGAGTTAGGCCTCAAGTTTAGGACGAAAGGACGTAAAAATGGAAAGGGGAGAGTTCACAAGAGACGGAAAGCCGATGTCGTCACGAGGACGTCTTTTCGCGCTCTTCAAGCACTGGAAGCACATTCGAATTGCCTTCACATCTCTACCCTATAAAGGCAAACTTAAACATATTAGCATACCTTACACAGCCCCGGCTCTTTCAAGCACCGGCCCCGATGCTGGCCAGTGGAGTTCCGTCAGGTAACTCCTCTTCTTCTATCAACGCATACACTTCGTCCTCGTAACCTACCGGGACCGGACTCTGTAGCGTCTCGAGTCTTTCCATAGGAGGTAGAAAAAATAAATGAGGTTAGATACCTGTTTTCTGAAGATGACAGGACAAATGGGCCTGAGCATGGCCCGAAGGCCAGCTCGCGTGTACAAGGGTCAGACAAATTGTAAAGTTACTGCAAAACGTCATATGGTCACATCAACAAAGCACTACACTGCCCCTCTCTTCTTTCGAGCAACGTCCTCGGCGCTTCCATTTGGTACATCTCCCGCGCCAGCCATCACAACATATTGAGTACTACAAGGAAGCACCCACGAGCCAACCGCGCCACTCGACAAACAACACGAAACTGAGGAACCGTACCTGGTCTCCTCGGCAAATTTAACTGGATCTGGTGTTACACTCGTTCTGACATCCTGCTGACCATCAATTGCTTCCAGGAGTAGGCAGTGTAACTCCGTTCTAAAACATATATGTTACAGGGAAAACGGGATGAGCCACTATCCCGTATGCAAGGAGAAGCGTAGTGTCATGTCCAACACCTATACACGCATTTTGTAGGGCAAATCCCGACACGAAACTTTTCCAGATAGTTTACGACGGTGTCGCTTCACTTCTTAATAGCTTGTCTGTGGATCACGGGAATAAGGTGAAACCAAATGCGCATGCCATTCTAAATCATTTCGTTGTGAAGCATTCGAGGATTCTCCGTCACCAAGGTAAATGCGCCTCCTTCAATTCACGTCCCCTTTTCGCCTG